GGGGGGAGGGCACGAATTTTCGCTGTTCAATAGTTTAACATCGCGTGACAAGATTGTGTGACAATTTAAATGACAAATGAATGTCAGAGATATCGTCCATCGTCCATCGTCCATCATCTATCGTCCAGAATCCACCGTCTGGGTTTTAGCACATTCCAACACTCACCGGGTATTGATATACATAAAACTGAATGCTAATTATCATGACCAAATAAATCATAACCATATGTCTATCACTCATCGGTTTATTGTCAGCTCCTTGAGACACTTATTTGGAGCAACCAATATGATCAAAATATAAATCAGATTAAATAAAACTTGCAAAACTCTTCTACTAGTTAAATTTGGATTGTGGTTACAGTCTAAGAAATTCTCTCTAAAGTATACCTCCATTTGTTACAGCCACGTTTCTCTCGTTCACACCTGTAATCAATGACAAGCACTGGATGAAAGGAGACAGTCACCTCATTACTCATTGTTTTTCTCAAAACTGTCTTGAAATACTCTATTTTTCGAAAAAAAAAAAAATACTCGACACGTAAGGCCTCCTTTAGTTTACAAAAAACAGAACAACAAAAACGAAAAAAAAAAAAANCCAGTTAACTCCTGATAACTCACCGAACCTACAAGAGGAATCTACAGAGATAAAAACTGATGACCGTAAATAAAGTGGTTTACGTTTCAATCAGGTTCACAAAAGAAAAAGAATACAACTGGAATAATAATTTGCCAACATAGCAAACATAACAGATCTGAAGAAAATAAAACCAAAACAAAGCAAAACAGCAAACGAATACTGTGAGCAACGAGTTACTGTTCTTTTGAGAAATGATACCTGAATTCCTTGACGCTTTACAACCCTTACTCATTTGACTTTGACAAATAAAGCTAAATAAGGTCCGTGTTATCGAACAAAATGACCTGAAATGATTGGAAAAACAAGAGGGTTCGATACTTTAAAATTTTAAAGGCTTGTTTCACTATCGCATAAGCATAAGACGTCATACGTAGAGTGAGACGCAGTAGAATGCTGATAATAATAAGCGACTTTTGTTGGGACAATTTCCTAACAAAAGGCGTTACTTAGCAGCACTCCACTGCGGCTGCGTATGTTGCTTATGCTTATGCGCTAGTGAAAACAAACCTGAACATGAATCTGAGGCTCTAACATTCCTTTGTTTAGACTTGGGGTATTGTGGTAGGTGGATTTTTACGAAAAATGCAAAAAATCTTTTTTTGCTGTTCAAGTTGAGAAGACTGAGATAAAGAGAAAAACTATTTTTGACTCTCATTAACTTCTTACAGCGCGTTGACACTTCTAATTAAAATTCACCGCCAGTTGTCACATCTAATGCGAATTGCGGTGTGATGTTTCATTTGTACCCGCGAACTGTTCTCGATCTGGTTGTTTCATCGCAAGTTAGCTTTCGTTCTTGTCAAATTTTCTTTATGTCAGGACGAAACCGCAAGAAAACTTCTCGCCCATTTTTGTCTTTGAAGAAGCCGAAGTGGCGAAAATCTGGTGGGACCCACAGGTTCAGCGTCCAGCAAGAGCTTTGGCTCTGAGCAACCGTGGGTCGCACTGTAACCAAGAAGAATGGTTGAAAGAACTCGAGGACACTAGTCCCGCCAACGAAGCTGAAGGACAAAATACAACAAGCGCTTGTCGCACGAAATTGCTGGAGAACGGACGCGATTCCAAAACTTTCACAACGAGAGAGTCAAGCGCAGATGTAGACGATGTAGACCTCGAGATTTCTTTTTGGCTTCACGAGGCATGGTTTCAAAAAATGTCTGGAGAACGAAGAACCCTAAACTCAAGCAACATAATACTAATGCCGCCGACGAAATCTTCTAAGTAAATCACTGCAATTTAAATAAACCTGTATAAAGCCAGAATTGTAGACGTCTGTTTATTTCGAGTTGTCATAACCCATTGTTGTGGTAAATCTGTCAGTGCGGAGGGGATTTGTAACACCTAAACATACCGATCTCATAAAAGGTTTTTCGTCTTTTTCTCGATGAAATAAAACTGCATATAAGGATGAACATTTTTAGTTCGTTTACGCGCGTCTTCCGACGGAACTAGCTGAAAATCGGCAGGCACGTTCCAGGATACCTCCTTCGAAAAAGGGTGTCGGGCTTTGTTTGATCACTTTCGTTTCAAAGTTATGGCCTCTTTAGTGGAAGGAAACGTCCGCATTGAAAATATCAAACTTTAGGAGGGTGTAGAAAAAATAATCGCCGACACTCTTTTGAGAAATGTTTTCTCTTGTGAGAAGACATTTCCGATGTTAATCAGGCCGCTCCGATAATTCGCGCGCGGAAGCGAACCAGTTTAAGCGAAGCAGTGTTTCTGGGTATTTCATTTAATATCACTGCGACAATAACTTTGTAGAAAATTTCAAAGACATGGTTGTGTTCTATAACTATTAAGCTTTAAGAAAATGTATAGGTTGATGGGGTTTTCTTTCAAAGCGCCAGCGTAAGAGCGCGATTTCCAAACACTGTCAATCCACCTACCATGATACCTTGATACAAAAACCTCGGTGCCGTGTTAGAGTTTTGATATAATCTAATGGGGGCTATTTGGGTTGGAATTAGATCGAGATTAGAGTTAATTGAGGTTCGAGTTATCGGGTGTCATCTGTCCTTTGCACTGAGATTGTACCCTCTGAAACGTTTCTTTCAGTAGAAGCTTCATTATTTTACACCTTAATGTAAAACTGAACCATACAGCATGCAGTGAGATAGAACAGTTCCCTTCTTTGGCTGTTCTTTAACAACTTTCGCAGAAGAAAATCCAGCTTAAATCAGTTTGCATAACAACCATGGAATGATCACATGGTTTATATATTTTCAGTCGGTTGTGCTTGCTTTAAAAGCAGGCATACACGTGTTTAGATAGTCATATAAAAGGTTTTTAAATGGGTGTCGTAAAACCAAAACTAAAGTAATCACTTTGGCCAATTACAAAGGATACAAAGAGTCTAATGAAACAATAAAAATAAAAATAAAAAATACCGAAACAAATACCTGTAACAGGAGAGTGACAAGACGAGAAAGTGGCTGTAAGTTTGTTAAATCAACACAATACGAATTACTCAGGACACTCAAGTGAAACCCGCACAAGTTTCCCGCAAGTTTGTAATGAGAAATCAAACATCAGGCTTTTGCCAATAAAATGCTGCACAACCTAAAGAACCAGCAAAAAGATGACAACTTTGTTGTTGTTATCATCTTTGGCATAAATGTTCCAAACAATCTCGAATTCAGTGAGCCATATAGAAAAGACTATTTTGCAATAACTTTTATTATTATATGGCTAGCTCCGTGAGCGGGCAAGATGAATCAAATCCTGCGCTGTGCTTGGCTAACCGAGCGGGCAAGGTGGAGCTATCTTGCCCCCTCGGGACTACCTGCCGTGTCCCACAAGAAAAATTGCCACGAAAACCATATAATAAATCCTTTACTGACCAAGCTTGTTCGGTCAAGATGGCTGGATATTGGCCTCGTTCTTTTTTCCGAGTTTAAGGACCTCAACTCC